CAGAATGTCCCACCCGGCGCCAATAGCACCCATTGAGTGCCTTCCTTTGGGCAAAAAGAAAATTTCTGCTGGTCTTCATTAAAAAAAAATACATGACTGGAGTGCTTTTCATAAAAAATGTCCCCTCTGAGTGGAAAAATATTTCGGCGATTTATCTTTTTAGTATTTTCTACAGAGCTTGAATGTTTTAACAATGACCAGAAAGTATTTTATTTCATGGTCAGAAAACACATCAAATGGTTTGTGCTTTGGAAATTTGGCTTCACCTCCTCTCTCTCTCTCTTTTCCTTCCTTTCTCTCTCTCTTTCTCTCTCTCTTTCTCTCTCTCTCTCTCTCTCTCTCCAAAGCAAACCCTGGGTGCAAAAGCTCCAGACGTCCCAGGGCTGAGGAGGGAGGGTGAAAACAGAGGTGGGAGACTTGAGCAACTCCGCAGAGAGCAGATGGCCCTGGGGACTCAGGACTGAGGCCTGGTGGGGACCAGTGTGGGAGGGGATGGGAGCGGACCGAGGGGATGGGAGCGGACCGAGGGGATGGAGGCTCCTGTGTCCGCCGGCCCACGAGGCTGGGTCTGTTCTGTACAGGAACAGCACCACCTGGTGGCTTCTGCTGGTGACATCAGTCATCTGCCCGTCCTGGGGCCTCAGAGAGGGGGACAGAGCCCTGGGTGTGGTCCCCGTGGGGCGGGCAGGACAATGATGGCTGAGCGGGGCGGGGAGTAAGGAGTAGTTCCACCCCAACTCTGTAGTGGGAGAATCAGAGTCTCAGCCAGCAGGTGGCATGGACAGCGCCCACCTAGCCCAGGTGTCCAGAAGCCTGAGTTCCAATCCAGCCACTGTGGGCTGGGGGCTGGCTCTGTTTTACTTCGCAGTTTTCTCCCCTGTGACTGAGGTGCAGCAGGGTGGAGAGGGGCCGGGTGAGGGGTTCTGGGCTGGGCCTGGGGGCGTGGTGCCCGTTCTCACCCCTATTCAGGAGGCTTCTCCTTTCTCCCACCTTGCCCGACCTCTCTCCAGCTCCATTTTCCTGCCTCCCTCATCCTCAGCAGGCCTGGCCAGGGAGTGGTCAGGACCAAGTCTCTCCACCTGTGTCCAGCCCTTGTGTGCTCAGGGTAAGAGCTAGGTGGTGGGTGGGGCTCCTCCCGGTCCTGGAAGCATCTGGGTGCGGGGTGGGCGAGGGTGGGGGGGTGGACACTTCCTGGCAGGCCCTGTGGGTGGGGCAAGCCCACTTATAGGGGGCCCATGGGCAGGGACTGTCCCCTGGCACCCAGCTCGGCACCCTCCCCCAGGGCCCTCCGCAGCACCACCCGCAGTGGCTCCCGCTTCCCGGGCTGCCGGCCCGACGCCAGGTAGATGAGGGGCTTAGAGCTGCTGTTGATGCAGGCCAGCAGCGTGGCCAGCGGTAAAAACATGGGCAGCAGGAAGTTCAGCAGGGGCTGCAGGCTCCAGTAGAGGACCAAGGGCAGGCCACAGAAGAAGAGCAAGAACAGTGCGCCCAGGACGATGCCGTAGAACCTGGGCCGCGGGCGCGTGGAGCAGCAGGTCACCCAGACAAAGAGGACCACGCCAGCCGTGCAGGCCACGCAGGCCAGCACCAGGAGCCAGATGACGCTGGCCACGTGGTAGCGCAGGCAGACCAGGAGGCGCGTGCTGTTGCGCAGCAGGCCGCAGGCGTTGGCGGGCAGCAGCACGGCCGGCAGGGTCAGGGCCCACACCAGGGCGCAGAGGATGGCCGAGGCGTGTCTGGGCCAGCAACCCTGGTAGCAGGTGGGGAAGAGGTTGGAGAGGCAGCGCTCCACGCTGAAGGCCGCCAGCAGCCAGAGCCCCACCGCGAACCACAGGAAGGTGAGCACGAAGTAGAGTGTGTCCTGGGCACCCAGGGCAGCCTGAGCCACGGAGAAGCCCATGTGGCAGGAGAGGAACAGGAAGTCGGCGGCGGCCAGGTGCAGCAGGTAGACAGAGAAGGGGCCCTTCTTGATGTGGAAGCCGAGGTTCCAGAGCACCAGCCCGTTACCTACCAGTCCCCCAAGGCCCACGATCAGCGTGAGGTAGAAGACCACACTGTCAAAGGTTCTCCAGAGGCTGAGCAGCCCGAACATCCTGGCCGGCTCAGAGGGTGCTGGCGAGGGACCTGCAAGAGGGAGACAGACATGGTCCCCGGGCGTCTTTTGTGCCCCCGCTGGGGGCACAGGGAGTGGCATCCATGGCCCTGCAGATGCCCTCTGGCTGCAGCCCCTGGACCTCCCTTCCCAGCGGCGGGACCTCAGCCGGGGCTCAGCCCTTTGCACCTCAGGTCAAGTGTGCCTAACGCCTCCCCATGCCTGCGGGCAGGCCCTGGGCTCCTGGCACGGTGCACTAACGTGCTCAAAAGATGTCCGCATCCCTCATGGATGTGGTGAGGGCGACGCTGCACCCTCCACCATGTGCCAGGGAAGGCTCTGCAGACAGAGGGGACGTGCATGGGGAACCCACGTGTGGGGCCTTCCTCTTCCCCCAGAGGTGGGAGCTTCTCCACGGTGGACCCCCATGGGGCTCCTACCTGGTGAGCCTAGACAAGCCTGCTGGCGAAGTCCTCTCCCCGGAGCGTCTCTGGAGGTGTCCAGGGAGGTGCCCAAAGGCAGAGGCTTCAGGTGGCCTGAGGAGGAGGGAGGAGGGAGGAGGGAAGATGTGGTGTGAGGAGTTGGAGGGAGCCCCCAGCCTTCCCTGTGCACTCCTGGCCTAAGCAGAGGCTGAATTCCGGGGCTCATGCCGCTGGCGGTGCACTTGGTGCACTCAGGAGGCTGCTCTGAAGCCTCAAACCAAGGGAGGGGCTTTGGTGATGGTGGCAGGGCCAGAGGGCCTCTCCAGGAGCTGCTAACACAAGGGGAGGGGCAGATACAAGCGGCCATTTGCAAGGAGCGAGGCCGAGGAAGTTCTCAGATGTTCTCAGAGCGCGAGAGATTGGCCATATGAAGCTGCACTGAAAGGCAGAGGGTCTCAGAGCAGCCCTTCCCTTTCCAGCCATCCCTCCAACCCCAGGATCCACACGGGTCCTGTTCTTAGTCCTGGGAGATGCATCAGGACCCAGGCTCAGCAGTGAGGGCATCAGCGGTGAGAGACATGGGAGAGAAGAGAGATAGAGAGAGACAGAGAGACGGGGGAGACAGAGAGATGTAGACAGACATTGAGAGACAGAGACAGAGAGACAGAGACAGGGAGAGAGATAGGGAGAGAGATACAAAGAGACAGAGATGGAGATAGACAGAGAAACAGAGATGAGACCGACAGGGTGAGAGACAGAGAGACAGACAAACAGACAGAGAGCGATCTAGCTGCCAACACACACCTCCCTGTCTGTCACACCTTTGCCTGGGCTGTGTCCCCAGCCCAGACAGCCCTCAATATCTCTTCCCTGACCCAGATCCTGCTCAATACCTCTTGCCTGACCCAGGTCCTGCCCTACTTCAAGGTTTTACTCCTTCTCAGGGACCTGCAACCTCCTGCAGCTTCCTCCGGCCCCCGTGAGCCCCCTGCCTCATGCCCGAGCATCCCCCAGCACCTTCTTTGTGCTTGTCCTTGCCCCTAGTCGGAGGGTGGGGAGTGCGGCTCGGGCCTCGGCTCCTGTGCCTTGCCGTGGCCAGGCACACGGTGATGGTGGCCTGTCCTCTGAGCCCAGTCAGGGAGAGTGGGAGACCTCGGCCGGACCCTGGCTTGTGGTGGTGACTATGGTGACTGGGGGTGGGGTGGTGGGGTGGACACACACCTCCCCTCTCTGAGCCTCAATTCCCCCGAGGAGGTAACCAGACTCTCCTGGCTGTGCTCTGGCTCCGGCTCAGAGTCTGAGGGCTGGGGGTGAGGCCGGTGCTCGGGCCCCCGTGCTGGGGTGAGGGTGAGCTCTGTGTCTGGAAAGAGAGTTACAGAGAGGAGTGGCATGGTGGCAGGAGGGGGCATCTTCATTTTTATCAGAACAGGTTCACCTGCCTGGCGCGCTCCAGCAACACCCTCGAGCTCTAGTGTCCACACGTTTCAACTCAGCCAGCATTCCCACCACCATCCTGCCCTACCTTCCCTTCCCAAAGGAAATCCAAACTTCCCAGCCAGCCCCATCCCCCGGGGAGCCAGGCTGAGAGCAGGGGCCACTACGGAGGGCAGAGGAGGGTGCCAGTGCCTCACCTGGGGGGTGCGGTGGGGGCAGACAGAGCCTTCTCACCTGTGACGAGGCTGCCCTCAGCTCTCTCGGGCCCTTCTCTGCTCAGACCAGCACTCATTGCCTGGAGGCTCCTCCCGGTCCCTAAATCCTTTCATGTCCTCTGGGACCCATCTGGCTGGACAGAGGACATCCGGCCAGTTCCCTAGAAGTGGCAGGGTGTGGCACTGTTCACAGGAATTGCAGGAATGAGCTAAAACAAAGAGTTGTTAGTGTGGGCCGGCCTTTCCTTCCTCCTCAGCATCTCTGGCAGGGGAACTGAAGGCACCAGGCCAGTGTCTTTCACCTGCTCCCACCTCACCTGGTGCGTGGAGGGGAGGGAGCAGGTGGATGGAGACCCTCTGTGCCCAGTGAGGCTGGACCACCTTCCGGCTGCCCCACTGATGTTGGGCTGCTCCTGCCAGTCTTTGGTTGGCTGTGGGCACAGGGGGCCTAGAACAGTGGGCAGGGCCCTGGCTGTGTGGCCTTGAGAGAATAACCTAACTTCTCTGTGCCTTGGTTTCCCCTTCTCACTGGACTGACCATTTATGGACAGCGGGAAGCCTGGGTGCCCAGGCTTGGGACTGGCTCTCCTAATGGGTCAGCCGACCAGTGCGTCTGTGGGTGGTCTGCAGAGGCGGCCCCAACCCCTTCCTAAGGAGACCCCCTCACTGTCCATCTGTCTGCCTCGGAGGCTGGGCTCCCAGCCGTTGACGAATTGTTTTCTGCATTCTGCTCTGCAGAACACTGGACAGTGAGATGTTCTTTTTCCTTCCGTGGACTGCGCTCCACAGCTCCTGAGTGGGGTGCAGCGTGTGTTAGCACAAGCTAGAAATTCGGTCGTAAAGATGCTGTTTCTCTTCACATTTCTTAAATGGACTGGGCTTCGAAAATCACTTCTGTAACACCAGTCAGCAGCCTGTGGAGCTCTAGGAGGGTACCTGCTGGCTGCCCAGCCCCCAGCATTGTTGCACATGGCTTTGAAACGCACAGCACAGCTCGTGTGGCCCAGGGGCACCTGCTGCCACCCCGCCTGCCGGCTCTGCCCCAGATGCTGGTCCTCGCTGGTCTCTGGGACCTCTCCCGGCGCGGCTCCACCTCCTCCCTGAGGTCACTGTCCAGGCCTGTTTCAACTAGCCCCTCCAAGCCCTCCTTACCTGCCTCCTGTTTGGGTGAAACTTTGAGCATCTCTATTAACTTAGTTGGTAGCTCCGGTCCCCTGCAGTCGCCGGGGGCCCAGAGGGACACACAGAGGGAGACCACCTGCCTGGGTCCCTCCTGGCCGCCTCGCCATCAGAGGTGGGATGGGGAGCTCAGCGTCAGCCACAGTGCGCAAGGTGAAGAGTTTTGATCCCTCGCAGATCCTCAAGCCAGGCAAGGCGCCCAGCTTCTATCCCAGGTAGCAGTCTCCTATCCCAGGTCTCCGACGGCAATCGCAACCCTGTGCCCATGGAGGGCTTCCCCTGTCTAAGAGCCACTGGGAGTGGGATGGGCTAATTTCTCAGGCCGCTTTCTATTGGGCACTTCAGACTGTGCTGGGCAAGGGCAGTTGTTTGAGGCAGCTTGGGGTGAAGCTCTTAGGGAGGACGTCCCGTGCAGCTCGGCCAGCCCCGGCCAGGCCCAGGCAGCCACCAACCATGGTTTCTCCATCACCCCTAACCCCTCCCACAGCCCCTTCTCGTGTTTGCCCACCGTCTAGGCCATGCTTTCACTTTCTCACCTGGGAGGCGTCTGGTGCAGGTGGAATGCATGGAGGGAGCCTCCGCTGGGGGAGCAGCTGCTCCCAGTGTTGCAAGGAGGACAGAGCCAATGCCTGCCCCATCCGTGTCGTGGCCGATGGTGGCCTAAGAAGACGTGTCCATGTCCCAGTTGCTGGAAGCTGTGCACGAGCTCTTCCTGGGGAAAAGGGCCCTGGCAGATACATGGATTTTGAGATGAGCTCGTCCTGGAGTATCTGTGTGGGCCCTAAATCCAATGACAAGTGTCCTTATACAGGAAAGGAGAGGAGGGCCACTGGAGAGCAGGGGGAGGCCACGTGAGGTTGGAGGCCAGCAGAGGTTACACAGCCACAGGCCAAGGAGGGCCAGAGCCACCAGGAGCTGGAAGAGATGAGGACGCACCTTCCCCTGGTGCCCTTGGGGAGCACGGCCCTGCCACCGCCTTGACCTCAGACTTCTGTCCTCCGTAACCAAGAGAATAAAGTCCTGCTGTGTGAAACCACCTGGTTGTGGTTGTTTGTTCTGGCTGATACAAGAAATGACTGCAAGGCAGGTGGCACGCTGGTACCGTTTGGGTGAGTGCTCCGAGTGAGCGCCGGCCACTCCACCGAGCCTCCCACGTGCCCCCACAGCACCGTCTGAGATGGCGACCTTGTCATCTTTGCCCGCAGATGAGGAAACCAAGGTGCCGGAAACTTAAATTGCTTGTCCAGGTGGTGCAGACGCCCAAGTGTGGTTTGTCTGAACACGGCCATCCTGAGCTTGTCTGATGGTTTGTGCTGCGGGCCGGGGCTGCATGGCGACTCTGCACAGCTCACCCTACAGCAGCTCTGTGGCTCTGGGCAGTGTCCCAGTCTGAAAGTGTGGGCAATGGTTTAATCAGCTCGGGTGCGTGTGGGGACTCAGTGGTGATCTATGTGGGGGCTGCCTGGGGGTCACTGAGGAGGCAGGAACAGCGCAGGATTCAGCCGGTTCGCCAGGAACCGTCTCTGTTCACGTGGTTTCCATGCCACCGTCCTATCTGACCTTCAGGACAACATCGGCCTGACTCAGCCCAAGGGAGAACACAAGGTTTTCCAGGTCCCCCAGGGCAGGTGGAGAGTGGGAACCGGGTGTCCAGCAGCGTCCTGCTCACCGTCACCCCTGTCTGTCTGCAGAGGAGCTCAACAGTGGGAGTGTTTTAATATGGGCATCATTGTTATTATTATTCAGATAGGCGAGGCCGCCAGATCAGGAGACGCTGCGGTTGAAGAGATGGTTGCTAACTCATAGCTCCCAGGAGGAGGGGGAGGCGACCCCACAGGGGCCACGTGGGGCAGTACCGGGCTGGTCAGGAGGCAGAGGGAGAGGGGAGGGGAATTGTGGACCGGAGCTTCCTCATGGTTTCTGTAGGAAGGAGTGGGCGAGGCAGCCAATGTAAGTGGGTTTAGGGTTGGCAGCTGGAACAGTTTCAGAGCTCTGGGTCCTAGAGCCAGTCCCTGGTGGTCTGGAACCTGGCCCTGGAGTGGGTGATGAGGGCAGGGATAGTGGCTGGGAGTGTGGGAGCCGGATAGAGGAGGGGCTGGGCATGGGTCTGCATTTGAAAGGTGAGCTCATGAAGGCGTTGTCACTCTCTAGCAATTGACTGACCATGGGAAGGGCCGTCCCTTGGGGTCTTCAAGGCCTCAGATGCCAAAGATTCAGACACAGAAAAGAAGACCCGGGTGGAACAGGGTGTACCGGGAGCTGTGGAGGCTGGTGGACCGGATTTGAGGCCGCCCTCCTTCTGTCTCCCTCCCTCCTTCTTCCCAGGTCGGACTCTTGTGTGGCCCAGAGCTGGGGGCTCCCATGGGGCTGCTGCTCTCTCCTTCCACCAGGGGACAGACGGTTCCGGGCTGAGAGCACCCAGCTTAGAAACCAGAGCCCCTCGGTGGCGGCCAGCACTGGGCTCTGCTGTGTCCGGCGGTGGCTCCGCCAGGCCCTCTCAGTCTCTCGAAGCCTCAGTTTCCCGTGGGTTACTTGGGAAGTTCATGTGACACCATGCATGTTACATGTGTGACCCAGCGCCCAAGGCAGAATAATGACTCAGAATGCGCTGGCTCTGCTGCCAGTGAGATCCAACAGCTGAAAAGAAAATTACCTCTTCATTAGAATAAGCAGGTCTGATGTGCTTCAGTGGCCACACATGGGGGTGGTGGGAAAGCAGGAGGCTGAAGGGACAGGAAACCCCATGGCCTTAGGAGCTGCCAGGAGCACCCTCTCTGCAGCTGGGCATTGTGCAGGCACTATCAAGGCGGGCGGATGGGGTGTGTTTCAGAGGAAAAGGGTCAGGGCTGTGGAAGAATGGAGCAATTTCACGAGAACAACAAAACTAAAGCCGAGGTCACGTTTTAGGTGTTTGGTTTTATTTTTCCAGCGTGTGAGCTAATGAGCCAGCTGAGCGAGCCTGCCTCGCCCCGTGAAGACGCCACACAGCACAGGCTGATTTACAGACTCACACCTGGGCGCCAGGGAGGGGACGGGATGCTTGGCCGGGGGCCTGGCTCTGCTCCTGTCCTCACACACACAGGCCTCACCCACAGCCTCCCTGGGCCCTGAGGACAGAGTGGGTTACACAGGCTCCCTGGAAATTTGGCTGCCCCCAGCAGTAGCTGCCTCTTCTTGGGAACTCTGTGCTGGCTGTAGAAGCCCTGCAGGGGCCCAGGGGTGCGGGTGGACGGGGTGGACTGGGCCCTGGCCGAGGAGCTTTGCCTGCGACCCAGGTGGAGGTGACCTTTGAGCAGCATGGCGCCAGGGTCCTGCAGGGTGGGGTCCTGCAGTCTAGGGGTCCCTGGTGGGGCCTTGTGGCTCTGGGAGCAGAAGAGCAGGTGCAGCGGGGGAGGTCAGAGGCGGCGCAGGCCAGGCAGGGGCAGGTGGGAGCCTTCACGGAAGCTCAGCCTCCAGTTTGGAGACCGGCCCACATGGTCCTAAAGTCCTGAGGTCTCAGGGACCACAGAACTGGAGGCTAAGCTGGCAGATCTGGGGCCACGGGGACACCCCACCAGCATCCTGGGCCATCAGGCCGTATACCTGCTGCCACACCAGCTGCTTGAGTGGGGACGGGCTGGGCGCAGTTTCCATGGAGACCTCAGATGAGGCCACATTTCCCGGACTCCTCAGGAAGGGACTAATAAGGAGGAATCTAGAGTCGCCCCAGTCCCCTGGGCGCCGGGGGCAGGCTCTCCGGGAAGAAGTGAGCATCCTAACGGTCCCCGACCTCTCCGGACCCTTATGCAGCAAAGGGGTCTGGGTGGGGATGGGGCTAGGGTTGGGGGAGCCAGTGTGGGGCTGAGCCAGCCGTGGTCCAGTGAGGCGGAGGGTGTGGGGTGGGAGGGTGGTGCTGGGAGTCACCTTCTGGCTCTGCCGCTTTCTTGTGGTCCTGAGTGGCCACATCGCCCCTCTGAGCCTTGGTGGTCTCATCTGTAGAGTGGGAGCACCTTCCTACATTATTACAAGGATTCCCCGGGATCGTGTCCACGGTGAGGTCATGTCCGTGAGATGAATCTGTGCTTTTCCTCCTGGTTCTTTCTTGTTTTGGGGGAAGTTTATGTCCTGGGGCTGAAAGTGGAATTTGCAGACACGCCACTTCCCTTTCTGTTCTCGTTTCCAGCTAAGGAACTGAAGTTGCTAATCATGTCCTGGAAGTGGGGAGAGAGGGCCCTGCCCAGATCCTGGGCCAGAGATCATTTGGGAGGTGGGGAGAGACGGCCCTGCCCAGATCCTGGGCCAGAGATCATTTGGGAGGAAGTAAGTCCCCAGGTGGGGGCTGGAGGTGCTCTAGGACAGGTGGTCCAGCCCCTGGGGCTCCCAGTCTCAAGGGATACCTGGACCCAGGCTTGCTGGGCATGTGCGGGAGCCTGGGGTGAACGCACTGTGTGGGCTGGGAGGGGCCCGGTGCAGCCCCCATGGTGGAGCCGGATTCCAGGGTGCTGACCAGGGATTTGCGACTCACACCCAGACTCAGGGGAGACAGGCTCAGCCATGGCCCAGAGGGAATGTCCCTCCATCACCAGGCATGGAGGCCGGAGGCAGAAATCAAAGAAAACACGCTCAGATGCCTTAGTCTGTGGCTGAGAATTGTGCTGTGGGCTTGGATGGCGGCGCTGGCAGCAGTAGAATCGACAATCATTTCTCTTGGGCTCACAAGAGGCTGGACAGGTCTCAAAGACTCAAAGAACTGGGTTCTCATATTTTACAGATGAGCAAGCAGAGGCATAGGGATGTTCAGAGATGGCCTTGGCCGCACAGTGGGGTGGCTAGTAGGGCTCAGCTCAGGTTGTGGGCTCCAAAGGCCCTGCTCTGGCACCCTCTGGCACATGCTCCTAGATGGCAGCCAGGCCCGGCACTCAGGGGAAGCTCAAAACCCGTTGAGGGGTGAAGCCTGGGTTCCTTCCTTAGAGGGATCCTCTGGAGCGGGACTGCTCAGGACAGAGGCAGGTGAGCTGCCTTGTATAGGGCCAGTGGGAAGCTTTCCGGTTGCTGAAGGCCTGGGTCCTGTGGGGAGACAGGGCTGCAGGCTGCTGGGTAGGGCTGTAAGGAACCTCTCCACCCACCCAGGGAGCATCCTCTAATATCCAGGGTCACCCATGGGGCCGGCTTTTCTGAAGCTCCGAGTGAGGGTTGCATCATCCAGTGGCATGGCCTTGAGCAACGGCCTGATGACCAAGGACAGCCCCACAGCCTTCTAGAAGCCTCAGCCCCTGCTTTTCCTCACAGCATCTGTGCTGGGGTTGGGGGTACAGCTTTTGATCAATGCACACCCTTAGGCTGATAGAATGAGTGGCTTTGCGGTATCACCGCATTTTCCTGCTGAAAACTCATGACAACGTAATGGACCCGGGTCAAAAAGGCTGCTGGCTGCTTTGGACACAGTTCGTCGGGGGAGGGGGTCAAGTTTTGAGCAGTCTTCAATTTTAGGGTCAATTTAGCTTCCACAGAGGGAACATGGCGAGCTGAGGGAATGGCTGTGTTCTCTGTGGGTGCCCCTGCAGCACTGGGGAAGCTGGAGTGGGAGGGGAGGTGGGCTGTGGGAGGGCCTGGACCTGCCCCTCACCTGGCGTCTGGCCTCGCTTCCTTCCTTTCCGGGGTCTCCTCACCGCAGCTGAGCACGGAATGGGTAGCAGCAGCAGCTCTCGAGTGCCAGTGCATGAACCATTGGGGAGGTTTCCCAAAAATGCACATTCCTGGGCCTTCTCCCCAGAGACCCAGCCCACCTGCCTGGGCATGTGGAGACCTTGCCTTTCCAGCTGCCTCCCAGGGGAGCCTTGTGCTCCGGACCGACGGTCACAGATTTGGCAGCACATGACTGGGCCACCCATCAAGGCCTCCTCCAGGTCCAGCTGGCCCCAGCCTCTGACCCCACTGCCTTCCCCAAGTCACCCTCCTGCCTCATGGGGGCTGCAGCTGGGGACGGGGCCCCCAGGTCTCAGGCTGCTATGTCCACCAGGCCCCGGCGGGAGGTCTCCCTGACGGCCCCCAGCTCAGCCTCGTCTCCCAGCGCTCGCTGGAGGACCAGCCGGAGGGGCAGCCTGCGGCCCTGGGCACTGCCCAGGCAGAAGTAGACGACGGGCTTGGCTGCGCAGTACACAGCGGCCGTGAGGAAGCTGAAGTGGTAGAAGTAGTGGGGGATGTGCCAGAGCAGGTTCCGGGACAGCCAGTAGATGCCGAAGGGCAGGCCGCAGAAGAGGAAGAGGAGGACGGCCAGGAGGATGAGCGTGGGGAAGCCCCGGGGCGGGGGCCGCTGGGGGCCTCGCTCCACTTGCAGCAGCAGCATAAGGCTGGCCCCACACATGGTGCAGCACAGCACAGCCAGCAGCACCGCTGCTACCAGCCACAGTGTCCGGCACAGGTGGCGGCTGGGCTCCCCGAAGAACTGGGTGCAGGCACCGCTGAGCAGCAGGTGCAGCAGCAGGCAACAGGCCCAGGTGAGGGCACACACGCAGGTGGTCAGGTGGCGTGGGCGGCGGCACGAGTACCAGGCTGGGAAGAGGGCGGCCAGGCACTGCTCCACGCTGACGGCCACCAGGAGACTCAGGCCCACGATGTAGCAGAAGAAGCGCAGCGTGGCCAGGCTGGTCTGCACGAAGCCTGGGAAGTCCAGCTGGCCTTGCAGCAAGTCGGGGATGATGGCCACCATGTGGCAGCCAAGGAAGATGAGGTCCGCGCAGGCCACGTCCAGGAGGTAGATGGCGAAGGGGTTTCTGTAGACATTGGAGCTGAGCAGCCAGAGGACCGCCCCGTTCCCCAGCAGCCCACCGAGGCCGAGCCCCTCAGTGAGGGACAGGATGACGAGGTTGAAGGCCACATCCTCCTGGGCGCCGTCGGCAGCCCCTGCACGCTGTCCAGCTTCTCTGGACTCCATCGTAGGCTGGGGGACAGGGGGTGCTGCTGCTGCTCGCTCTTTCTCCTGATGCCCCTGTAACCACAACAGTTGAGTGTGGAGCTCAGGAATCCATGCCCCCTCCACCCCCCGACATCAGGGGAGATGAGATAGCTAAGGGTTGGGTGGGTGACCAGGGGAATGGTGAGACCCTCCAGGAGGAGACTCCTCTCCCATTTCCACCCTCAGTCACCCGACCTAAGCCTCTCTTCCCTAAGACACTCAGGAGGAAGGTCTCCCCCTTCCTCCTCTCCCCATGGTTACCTGGCCTCAAAGGCCTTCTGTGGGGCTGGTCCCTTCAGGCCAGGTGGGGGCAGGGACCAGGAGATGTGGGAAGAGGGTCTGAGACCCATGGGGCTCCCTGTTGCTTGTGGTGCCTTGATCCTCAGAACAGTCCTTTTTTTTTTTTTTTTTTTTTTTTGAGATGGAGTCTGGTTCTGTTGCCCAGGCTGGAGTGCAATGGCATGATCTCAGCTCACTGCAACCTCCGCCTCCCAGGTTCAAGTGATTCTCCTGTCTCAGCCTCCTGGGTAGCTGGAATTACAGGTGCCTGCCACCACGCCCAGCTAATTTATTATATTTTTAGTAGAGACGGGGTTTCACCATATTGGCCAGGCTGGTCTCGAACTCCTGACTTTGTGATCTGCCTGCCTCGGCCTCCCAAAGAACGGCCTTATTTTAGTCAAAGGCAGAGCAGGAGGCACTGCTCATGCCTAATGAGTGGTGTGACCACAGAGGGACAGCTTACAGTGGCTGGGGGGCTTTTCGTCGTTATCTTAAAGCAGCCCCCAACTCTTTCAGGCCTTTCCTTGACATCCATGAGGAGAAGGAGGGGAGGAGGCATGGGAGGACGATGGAAGAGAAGAGGAGGGAGGAGGAGGAGAGGGAGGAGAAGGAGGGGAAGAGGTCCAGGAGGACGATGGAAGAGAAGAGGAGGGAGGAGGAGGAAAGGGAGGAGAAGGAGGGGAGGAGGCGGGGGAGGATGATGGAAGAGAACAGGAGGGAGGAGGAGGAGAGGGAGGAGAAGGAGGGGAGGAGGCAGGGGAGGAGGCAGGGGAGGATGATGGAAGAGAACAGGAGGGAGGCACAGCATTCCCCATCCCTGGGTGGTCCAGGAGCGGCTCTGTGTCCTGCCGGGACAGTCAATACTGAGAAGCCATGAGGCTGTCCCAAATCAATGCCCAGGTGTGGCAGGGAGGAGAGGGCCTATCCCCGGCTGCCCCGATGACTCCCCTTGAGAGTCTGTACCTGCATGGAACACTCTAGATCATGGAGGAAGCAGGGCAGACAGGAGACAGAGCCACCGGGTGGGGGGAGCTATCACCCAAGTGAGTGTCCTCTTCTGGAGTCAGCCCAGGGCTGGCTGTGGACCAGGTGGCGCGGCCCCTCAGAGGGCGGAGGCTGCAGCCTGGAGAGCTCCCTGTTGACAGCATCCACTGTTGCCCACGCCCCGCCCCTGCCACCCTCTGGACAGCAGAAGAGCCCAGAAATTGCTGAGTGCCTGGGCCGGCCCCAGAACCCACCTTGATCCAGCCACCTGCGCCACTCACCGTTTGGGGCAGAGGCGCGACGGAGCCCTGCCTGCTCTGACCCTGGGCCTTGGATCTGTCCTGGCTGCAGCCGCGGGTTCCAGTCCCCAGAGCCTCTGGGCGGCTCCTGTTCAGTGTCCACCAGCTCCTCCGAGTCACACGGCGTCCGGCTGGAACGGGGCTGGTCAGGAAGGCGTCTCTCTGAGGACCCCTTCTCTTCTGCTCAGCTCTTGCCCAGGTGTGGACAGCAAGAGAAACCCCGACCCTCCCTGCAGCCTTCCAGGCAGGCCCGGCAGGCGGAGGAAACCACGAGATCTCTGGGTGGAGCCCAGCCAAGCTGTGACTTCACCGGCATGCCTGGCTCAGAGACACCAAGCCCTGCAGGGCCCTTTAGGGACCACTTCTCTCCATCTGTGTCTCGGAGGGGCCGGCCGAGTGCCGGGCTACCAGGGGACTTGTCCTTGCAGCAAAAATGTGTTTGTTTCTCCGCAGAGCACAGGCTGCCGGCCCCAGCTCTCCAGGCAGCACCAGACCGCCGGGAGGAGCGGGGATGTGCGTGAGGCCGTCCCTCCTGCCTCATTCACAGGCACACAGTAGATGGCTGGTGTCAAGAAGCTGCCGCGAGGTCCCTGCCAGAGGAGAATCAAACACATACAGCAGCGTCAGGCTGGGTGAGACCCTGTGAATTCAATGATTTCTGCTTGTCTCAGAAGGGAAAAGAGTCTCATTTCAGACCGTGTCTTTCCTTCCAGTGCCCTGCCTTAGCGGAGATCACAATGGACGTGCCAAGAAAAAGAATGCAAGGTCATTTTTTGACCTCTGTTCCTCCCAGAGTCCAGGTCCCAGCAACTCTTTTCTCTTCTTTGTCTTTAGAAAAATCTCCAAGGTACAGAAGAGCGCAGGAACAGCAGGGATTTGCTCCGAAGCGTTTCCCACTCTGTGCTCTGCCTGAAGGCTCCTCTTGCAGAGCCACGTGAGAGCAAGTTTCCCACGCGTGGCCTATGACCTTTCACGACATCAGCAGGCATCCCCCAGGGCACCAGCATCCTTCATCCCCAAAACGCAGGGGCCATGCGAAGCTCGTTTGGTGTCTGTGCAACGCTGGTATCTGATGTCCGTGCCAGGCAGGTGTCTGACAGGCAGTGGTGCCACTTGCTGAGTTGTGTCTCAACTTCAAATCCTCCTTTCCTAACCCAGGATCTGAGCTGCCAGGTGCCCGGGGCTCTGCAAATCATGCCTGGGCTCTGCCACTGCTCTGGGAGGCCCTGCCAGTGGGTGGTCACTCAAGGATGGCCCAGAAGTGTGGGGGAAGTGCTTCCAATCGCCCCACACGTTCCAAATATCTTATCCTTCTAACTGCCACACTCCTTCCAGTTGTCCTACAATTCCAATAGTGCCGCTCCTTCCAGAGTCCATCCCACCCTTTCATAAGTTCCATGCCTTAAAATTGTCTTACATCTTAAAGTTGTCCCACCCTTCTGAGTGCCCGAACTTTCCAATTGCCCCAGCCTTTAATTGTCCCACCCTTCCAATTTTCCCACACTTTTAATTGTGCCACCCCTTCCAATGTCTCACCTTTCCAAATGTCCAACTATTCCAATCGTCACAACCTTCCATTTGTCCCACTCCATCCAAATGCCTCACCCTTCCAACTGTCCCACTCCATCCAAATGCCTCACCCTTCCAATTGTCCCATTCTGCCAGCTGTCCCACTCTTCCATTTGTCACATTCCTTCCAATTGCCTCACACTTCCAATGGTCCCACTCCTTCCAACTGTTCCATTCTTTCCAATTGTCCCATCCTTCCAATTTTCCCACTCCTTCTAATAGTCCCACACTTCCAATTGCCCCACTCTTCCATTTGTCCCACTCCTTCCAAATGCCACAACCTTCCTATTGTCCCTCTCCTTCTAATTGTCCCACTCCTTCCAGATGTCCCACCATTCCAATTGTCACACTCTTTTTGATTATCCCATCCTTCCAATTGTCCCACCCTTTTTATTGTCCTGTTCCTTCCAATTGCCCCATCCTTCCAACTGTTCCACTCTTTCCAATTGTCCCACCTTCCTATTCTCCCAGCTGCGCCCAAATGCCCCACTTTCAGTTGTTTTTTTCCTTCAATTGTTTCATTCTTCCAATTCTCACTCCGTCCAATGTGTGTCTAACCTCTCCAGTAGTTCTCCACTCTTCCAATGTCCCAGCTTTTTCCAATTTGTCCCACCCTTCCAAATTGCGCTACCCTTCCAATTGTGCCAGTCATTCAAATGTGTGCTACTCATTCCAAGTGCTCCACCCTGTTAATTGCCCCAACCCTTCCAATTGTCCCACCCTTTTAATTGTCGTCACCTTTCCAAGTTGTGCTCGCTCTTTCAATGGTCGCAGCTTCCAGAAATTGTGCTTACGCTTCCACGTTGCGACCTTTTTTAATGGTCTCACCCTTCCAATTTCCCCAGCCGTGCGTGAAGTGTCGCGCAGCGAGTGTCCGAGTTGTTCCAGCGCGTGCGTGAATTGCCTCGCGCTTCCAGTTGTCGCCACCCTGTCAATGTCCTCCCTTCCAAGTTGCCGCGACTCGTGTGCGCGAGTTGTCCTATGCGTTCGAGGTGTGTGCCCACCTTGTAGAAGTGCGCGCGACGCTGCGCGAGATGGCGCGCGCGACGCGTGTGGGAGGGAGCAGGGGAGAGCACACAGAAGGCCTGCTCCAGGAGTCCAAGTCCCCCCTGTCACTTTGTCGCTAGGGTTGAAGAGGCCTTATGTCCCCACCCTTTCACCCCGGAGAGCCTTTGTTTAAGCCCCCCCCCCACCCCTAATCCTAACCCGGCCTTTTGGTTGGGGCTTGCCGCCCGCCATTACGGCATCTTGTGCCATTTTTTCTCCCCCTATTCCCCCTCCAAGAGGACGGCCCCGCCCAAACCACCTTTCCCCACGACACAGAGACAGATGGCTAGACGGACAGATGTCCCCTTACCCAAGCAAGCAGAAAACAGACAAGCCCTGGCCACAGATGAGGACGGTGGCTGACAGATGGAACGCTGTGACAGAGGAGGGCCCTGCCTCCCTGTAGCCTCCCTCAGCCAGGCTGGGAGAGAGGCCAGCCCCAGGAACACGCAACGGCTGACAAACAGCGAGGTTGTTTCCGCCTGAACCCGAGGTGGCGCCACCGTTTCACCCGTTTAATTTGATCAGGCGGGCCAGCAGTGGCAGGCTGGGGGGGCTGTCCCGTCTCTTTCAAATGTGTCCCGCGGCGGTCCAATTCCTGTCCAATTTTCGCCCACCCTTTCCCAATTGTTTCATTCTTCCAATAGTCCCACCCTCCAATTATCCCACCTTCCAATTGTATTAGCCTTCCAATTGTCCACCCTTCCCATTTTCCCACTCTTTCCAATTGACCCTCCCTTTTAATGGTCTCACCCTTCCAAATGTCCCACTCTTTCCAATTGTCCCAGCCTTCCAATTGCCTCATCCTTTTAATTATCCCACTCTTTCCAATTGTCCCAGTCTTCCAATTGCCTCATCCTTTTAATTATCCCACTCTTTTAGTTGATCCATCTTTCCAATTTTCCCACCTGTCAATTGTTCCCCTCCTTCCAGTTGTCCCACTCTTTCCAATGGTCCCACTTTTTAAATTGCCCTACCCTTGTAATTGTCCCCCTCTTTCAGTTGACCCACCTTTCCAATGGTCTTAACTTCCAATTTCCCACTCCTTCCAGTTATCCCACTCCTTCCAGTTATCCCACTCCTTCCAATTGTCCCTTTTTAATTGTCCCACTCCTTCCAGTTGTCTCACTCCTTTCATCCCACTCCTTCCAGTTATCCCACTCCTTCCAGTTATCCCACTCCTTCCAATTGTCCCTTTTTAATTGTCCCACTCCTTCCAGTTGTCTCACTCCTTTCAATTGTACTGCCTTCCAACTGCCTCACTCTTCCAATTGTCCCACCTTCCAATTTCCCCATGGTTTTAATTGTCCCACTCTTTCCATTGTCCCACCCTTCCAATGGTCTCACTGTTTCAATTGTCCAACCCTCCCAATTGTCCCACTCCTTCCAATTGTCCTACCTTTTTAATTGTCCTACCATTCTAGTTGTCCCACCCTTCCAATTGTCCCACCCCTCCTATTGTCCCACTCCTTCCAGTTCCCCCACCCCTCCAATTGTCTGACTCCTTTCAATTAGTCCATCTTCCTTTATGTTTTCTAGCTTCATTTTCACTCCCTGTCCGTGTTGCCACAGCAAATTTCTCCCTCTCTCTCTCTCTCTCTCTCTGTCTCACTCTCTCTCTTTTTTGAGACAGAATGCCACTCTGTTGGCCAGGCTGAGGTGCAGTGGCATGATCACAGCTCACTGTAGCCTCCAACTTGCAAGCTGAAGCATTTTTTCCTTAGCTTTCCGAGTAGCTGGGACTTCAGGCATGCACCAAGTGCCAGGCTACCAGCAGCTTGTCTGGCTAATTTTTAAATTTTTAACTTTATAGAGATAGGGTCTCAATATATTGCCTAGACTTGTCTACAGTTCCTGAGCTCAAGTGGTCCTCCTGCCTTGGCCTCCGAAGGTGCTGGGATTGTAGCTTTGAGCCACCATGCCTGGCCCGCATCTACTTCCTCCACCTGGTAGCAGCAATTGACTTTTACAGTTTTCTCAGCACTTGAAAATCCAGACCCATTGTTTCCTGTTGGAGACACTGGCCACTAACTGCCTGGGAGTCCCCTCAGGTGCCTGAATTACACTCTAGTGGTCCCCACTGGTCCTACATTTCAATAGTTTTAACTTCCTTCCTTTGTTCCCTGTGCCCTGGGTGGCGGGTCTTTTTGCAGTTGTTTCTTCTCTAATACCTTAGTGTTCCCTTTGTACGTGTTTGGTTTTTCAATATCTAGTGAACAATTCTTTAAGTTCATCCCTTCAAAAGTATAGGTAGCTTCTGCCTACTGACTGTGTCCCTGCTGGTACTGAAATTGGTCCCAGAAAGGTCCTAGGGGAAACGTGGTAATTTGGGCTTGGTTTGGTCATGTCCTTGGCCTTGACTGTTGTGATGAGTTTCTGGTCAGTGACACTGGTGATCCATGCCATGCTGTCAATCAAACAAGCACTTGTAATGGGTTATGTTGAAGTTGGCGCCTTGGGGGACCATTTGCCTGTTGGACTTGATCATCATAACACAGGGAGCACTGTGGCATGTGACAGGATTGTAGCTTCCAGAAAGAGGATGACGACTTCTACTTCTGGTTCTAAAGGGGCAATAGGGGCTGGAATCACCCTCCCATTATAAAAATCTAGAAACCAAAACAAGGTTTGTGGATTTAGACAACAGGCTGAGCAGGACTGTGGTCCCAAGAAAATGGAAGCTGATGGGCATGCCCTACGCTCACCCTGACTTTCTGTCCGGAGGTGGCTTCCAGACTGCAACACAGGCCAGAAGAGGCAAAGGGGCTCAGCAGGTTAAGTGCCAGATCAGGAGAAGGTTGAAAACAATACAGGTAAGACTGGCAATCAAGACAACAGCAAATGGACAAGCTGTAGAGAAAAGCAATGACATCAAAGATGTTTTATTTAAGATGATTAATAAAATGGAATAACCTTG